GGGAGAGATCTGTGTTGATTACATACAGACCTCCCCCCTGTCAGCTCCACAGACAGGGAGGAGCCAATAGTGGCGTGGGTAGGGAGCGTGTGTGCGCCCCCTACCCAGGAAAAACAAACTCAAGTATATATATGTGATTTTGCTCATCCCTGCCACCCTGAAGCCGTACTTCTGCTATAGGGCTGTCGGGAAGCGGTTAAAGTAAATACAAATTATAAATTTAAAGTTAAATACAAAGCAGTGTGCTTACAGTGAAGCACTAACACACAGCCTCTGGTAAAACAGCACACAGTTAACCTTTTGATCGCCCCACATGTTAACCCTTTCCTGCCCAGTGTCATTAGTACAGTGTCAGTGCTTTTTTTTAGCATTGATCACTGTAATGGGAATGTCAATGACACCAAGTAAGTTCCCCCCAGTGTCAGAATGATTACCGCCATTACAAGTAAAAATGAAAACATTTTAAAAATCCCAGTATACATTTTTTTTCTAGCAAAAACATGTAATGTTTTTTACAGGACATGTTTAATAGCAAAAAGTCAAAAAATATTGTTTCTCAAAATTGTCACCCTTTTTTATAGCACAAAACATACAAAATGCACAGGCGATCAAATACCACCAAAAGAGAGCTCAATTTGTGGGGGAAAAGGATGTCAATTTCATTTGGGTGCAGCGTTGCATGACCGTGCAATTTCCAGTTAAAGTAACATAGCGCTGTAAAGCAAAAAAATGGCCTGGTCAGGAAGGGGGGTAAATCCTCTGGAGGGCAAGTGGTTAAAAACCACTGCAGCACTGGGTTGAACTACGGTAGTGAAGAGGTGGGCAAGAACAATCTCCTGGAGGAGGAGGACAGGCGCAAGGTGTGTTTTAATGATGTCAGCTGCTGAATAACTTCCTTACTCTACTAATGATTCCAGAGTCCTGCAGGATAGATACCAGGAAGGCATGTATGAGTTTTCTACAAATTAAATCAGAGACTGAGGTGGTGCTTGCTTCAGAATATAAGAACAGCTTTTTGGTTTCTGCATCAGAGGTACATCAATAGTATATGAGCACATAGGAAAGCTGTACTTTAGAAAAAAAAACAAAAAGGTGAACTTAGCTTTAATTTAGCTGTTGTAATGTTATTTCACTCTGGTACAGAAAGAATCCAGTTTGTTGATTGAAAACTATGAACTACTTTATTTTTCTCCAGCAGTTCACTAATTTGGACAGTGAGATTTCCTTATTAAACAAAATGTCAGCTTGCTCTCTGTAGCGCTAATTGAGACTTTTGTCACAAGAGCTTCCCTCCACAAATTAAATAACATTCATTAATCTGTTGAACAAATATCACAGGCGTAAGATTTCACTCACTCATTGTTCAGTTTTATTTAGCTGCATGAGAAGGATTTAACAAGTCACACTTGATAGACGGTTTAAAACCCTGGGATTATTTCTGCATCTCCTTTAATTACACATGAATCCTTAAAGCTGACCAAAAATGTATGCCTAAATGACTTTTTTAAATGATTTGTGCCTATAATATTTCACAAACTTTATGATTTCCTCTTTTACCAAGCACATAAAAATGATTTAGTGGTGGCAACTGCACTCTATGACCCTACTGTTATATCAAAGCCAAATGGCTTGTTGTCAGATCAGATAATTTAGTGTTAGGGATCACCTAACTCTATAACTCTGTGACCAATAGGATTCTTCTGTTATATCAAAGCAAAAAAAAACAAATGATTGTCAGTTCAAATGATTTAATATTAAGGACCACACTTTGCAGTTGTGCTTTGACATATCAGTAAGACTTCACGTGTTTGCAAATGTATACAGAAAAAAATTAGTTTTAACCTAAACATCAAAACAATGTAGGCATTTTGCACATGGGAGTAAAAAAAATGTTTTTTTACTGATTTGAATTAAAATGCATTGTTGTCTATAGAACCAAGAAACACAGCTAAGCAAATATCCAGATACAGCGTTGAGTACAGAGCCTTAATACAAAGATAGAACATTTTACATTTGAGTGCAGTAATTTACTCACATACATGGGTTTACTTGTCTATAAGCATGTTTACGTGAGTATAAATTAATATATTACATAACTGGCAATGAAGAAGAATTTTACTCATCTTTATGGTTATGCACCTTTTACACTCCCATACTCAACATTACTCAGGTCCTTAACTGCCTCCTGCCCGCTGTCAGAGGAAACGACGAGGAAGTCCGGCAAATGCGCCAATACGCAATATGGTCACGTCAATTCACACAAAGAAGTGCACATGCGCATAGGCGTGCGACACGTAATCATGCATTCCTGTGCACGAAAATGCACCAGCACACGCAGGTTTCACTAATTGCTGACACTCAGTGTCCTTTATAAGGACAGCAGCTCTGCTCAGTGATTGCTAGATTATTGTCAGCCCCTCCCGTTCCTGAGTTTCCTGCTGATTACCCATTACCGACCCGACTTTATCTTGACCTTGTTCCTGTCTGCTGCCCTGTGTATGATCCCGGTTTGCTCCTGACCTTGTTCCTGTCTGCTGCTACTCTGTGTATGACCCTGGCTTTATCCTGATGTTGCTCTTGTCTGCTGTTACATATTGATCCTGACTCTGGCTACTGACTATTCTACCCATCCTCCGGGATCCATGTGTTCTCTGGAGAGACTCATCCTGCAACTGGAGTAGACACGGGATCCATCTGTCTCACGATAAGGTGTGACCTCCTAATTAGGTATAAACGCAGCAAGCATAAAGGTAATGGTCTAAGCAACCAATACTACAACATTCTCATGGTTAAGAAGGTGTAAATGGTGATATAGGTGTCAAAGTCAATATATCATAGGAGCGACGTAAATAAATCTGTGACATCTGTGGTAGGAAGTGTGGCTGTAGAATGCACTAACCAGATAGCGCAGATATTAGCGCTTTGGAGTAAAATGACCTACTCCTGGTCAATGGATCAAGGGAACCTGCCGGAGTGGTGGTCGTCTCTGCTGGTGGTCACCAGAATCGTCTGCGTCCTCTCCAATTATGGAATTCCCAGGTGTCCAGTGGAATAAATGATCATCCAGTATGTAGTGGAATCCTTATGTCAGCGGCCTCCAGGGGTGCGGTGTGCGCTCAAGGTGTGCGCTATATATTTTTATATATATTTATATATGTATATATTTTTATATGGCCACCTGTATAAGAACTACACGTGGTGTCACCTGTATAAGAATTATACAGGGTGTCATCATAATTACTCATGAAGATGGGTTTTTCAATAAATCAAGGACCGATTCTCTGCTAATAAATTATATATGAATGCTAGGTGACGCCTATATTCCTATATATATGTATTGTGTAATTTTAATATATATTACGCATTTTTTTTATTAATTTATTTTTCATCAGACTATGCTATTTCTATACACATATGTGTAGTTGAATATAATCTGCCTGTATTAACATGCTTCCAACAAGGACTTATTTGCTGAATGCCTCTAACTGAGCAACCTGTCCTGGGACTTGTAGTCCCACTAATTTCACCACAGGATGACTATGCTCTTGATTTCTACAGTGGCTGTGCTCTATTTCTGACATTCCCTGAGTACACCACAATTCGGTGGTCACTATAAACAATAGCCCTTTATACCGCACTGAATCTTTCCCCCGAGGTTGGTCTGTCATCCTAGACAGCAACCATAGATTGAATTTTTCCCCTTGGTAGTTCTGTCCTTAGAGGCAGTATCCATAGACTGGGACTCCAGGAAAATGGCCGCCGAGCGCGATCTGCGCATGCGCGGAAGATTAGCGATGACGCGGTAGCGTCGTACTGCGCATGCGCGAGGCACCCGATCCGCGCATGTGCAGTAGCGGTAATTTGCCGCGATTAGCGTCCTTAAGCATTTTAGGCACTACACTATAAATAGGTGGCCTCTGACAGTAGCTCACTCCCTTTGACAACGTGCAATTGCCACGAAACGCGTTAGGGAGATGCTACTTTACCTACCACTACTACCCACATGGTCCACACCTTGATACGGGTGGCCATCTTTGGAATTGTGTATTGCACCATGTAAGTGCTTTATTTGTCTATTACTCCTTAATAAAAGTTATCACACTATCGGAAGCCTCTCTTTTGGGTTTATTTCTGAGCCCTGAAGGTGATTCCTGTTCCTTGAGCGCACACCGCACCCCTGGAGGCCGCTGACATAAGGATTCCACTACATACTGGATGATCGTTTATTCCACTGGACACCTGGGAATTCCATAATTGGAGAGGACGCAGGCGATTCTGGTGACCACAGCAGAGACGACCACCACTCCGGCAGGTTCCCTGATCCATTGACCAGGAGTAGGTCATTTTACTCCAAAGCGCTAATATCTGCGCTATCTGGTTAGTGCATTCTACAGCCACACTTCCTACCACAGATGTCACAGATTTATTTACATCACTCCTATGATATATTGACTTTAACACCACCTATATCACCATTTACACCTTCTTAACCATGAGAATGTTGTAGTATTGGTTGCTTAGACCATTACCTTTATGCTTGCTGTGTTTATACCTAATTAGGAGGTCACACCTTATCGTGAGACAGATCTTTATACTCTAGCGCTGCATGTTTTTGTATGTGACTGTTATACCACGGGCGTTTTGGAGGCTTGCCTTTCATGCCAGCTGCTTTTATATTTTGCTCTAATATTATCCAGCGCTCGTTACACCCCTTTTTATCTATTTACGGGATCCATCTCATCAGGCATTTCCAAGCAGCAACACCACTGGCAACCTGTGCTTCTTTGGGCTCTGCACCTCCTGTTTCCACCTCCAGGAGCGCACTGCACTTAGCCGTAAGGGGAGCCCTCTCTCTTTTGCAGCCTCCGGTCAGGTACGGGACACCCACGATATAAGGAAATGATGGATGGGCAGTGGTTCACTCACTCTAGGAGGACGTCATATGATGTCCTTCCACTCTAACTGCACATGCGCGCCTCAGCGATCGGTAGTCACAGGAAATGCCGGTTATCAGCAGTCCTCTGCCCACGCTGACAGCGCATGAGGAGAGGAGAGGCGGTAATCGGTATTCCTCAGAGAGGACATCTACACTGATGATCAGTGCCCTGATGATCAGTATAGCCCCATCAGTGCCACCTGTCAGTGTCCATCAATGCCACATACCAGTGACCATCAGTGCACGTCAATGCCACATATCCGTGCCTACCAGTGCACGTGAAAATCACATATCCATGCCTACCAGTGCACGTGAAAACCACATATCAATGCCCATTAGAGCTGCCTATCAGTGCCACCTAACAGTTCCAGTCAGTATCACCTATCAGTGCCATATATGAGTGCTGCCTTTCAGTGCCCATCTGTGATGCCTGTCAATGCCCATCAGTGCCACCTATCAGTGCCCATCACTGCAGCCTCATTAGCACACATCAGTGAAGGAGAAAAATTACTTACAAAATTTTATAACAAACTACGAAAAAAAAAAAATTTTCAAAATTTTCAGACTTTTTTAGTTTGTTTAGCAAAAAATAAAACCCCCAGCGGTGATTAAATACCACCAAAAGAAAGCTCTATTGTCTCAAAAAAATTGTAAACATTTTGTTTGGGTACATTGTTGCATGACCAAGCAATTGTCATTCAAAGTGCGACAGCACTGAAAGCTGAAAATTGCCCTGGGCAGGAAGGGGGTAAAAGTGCCCAGTAGGCAAGTGGTTAAACACAGTTTTTTTTTACTCAGGGACTTTCTATCAACAAGTTCCTTAGTAAATATCAGTAAATTATGCAGCCTGTGTGCAAGGTGCCTAAACAGGCCCTTTGTGTGGACTACCTGGAATGAGTGTTAGGCTTCATTCATATGGGGCACTGATATGCATGCTCTGTGCAGGACCATGTGTTGCCATCATGGGGATGTATAGGTATTGTGTACATCCCTGTGCTGGTAGTCCCATTGTTGTCTACTTGGATGCAGCTGCTGCTACCAATATGACATCCATGTGGGCAGGGGCGGACTGACAACTCATGGGGCCCCCGGGCAATAGGGGATTATGGGGCCCCTGTGTCCTTGCCCAAACTCAAAAAAGCCTATAAAAAAGGTACCAGGGGCATCTCATGGGGCCCCCTACTGACCCCGGGCCCTCGGACAGTGCCCAAGTTTCCAAATGGTCAGTCCGCCCCTGCATGTGGGTGCTGGTGGACAGCTTGGAATGTCAGGACCACGAAAGATAAAAACAAAGAATGGCCCCATGGGATTGTCACCCCTTTGCTTTTTATATACATTTTACTTTTAATAGAGGGCTAATATGATTGTTAATTCCATGTCTCTCTATAGCTGTTTTTCTGGTTCTTTTGGTTTTGTGTTTCAGGTAACAAGTTGTCTACTGTTGCTAAGAAGATTTACTTCAGCTGCGGAGCATTGGATTGGTGACAAATCTTTTGGCAAAAAACATCCAGCCAATGAGTCTAACCTTTCCATTATATCCTCTCCTGTCACTGTGCGGAGTCAGCATTTACTTCAGTTCTGTCAGCTGGACTCACCTCTGGATTCTCCTCATCCTTCCTTCTGGATCTTTTGACCTGCCCTCTAGACCGCCTTCCCCTTTTTTATTTTTTTCCTCCACCGCGGTTCACCTTTATGTGGGGTAATGTTGCCCACTTTGTGGGTGGACAGTGGTTGGTACGCTGTTATTTGGTTGGTATAAGATATTGCTGCTTGAGTCTTAGTGACTAAGCATGTTGGTCTGGTAATGATTAACAATGGTTCTGTTTAGTGTTAAAGGTTAAAGTTCATTTCATAACTGCAATTGATTTAAACCCAATATAGGGACCACAACTTAAATGTTTCCACAATCTTTATTGTGTTTATTTTATTATTTAGGTATGTTCTTATGGTATGATGGGTGTTAGCGGGGTGCAGGGCAATCTTTAATATTGATTGGACCCTGGGCAAAGATTCTTGACCCCCCCATGCAATTTTTCTCTCCGCCTGCTCTGAGACAAACAATAAAGAGCAGCTAGACTGAAAATCAATTTACAGCAGCAGATCAGGCAGCAGTTGCAGCTGGTTGCTAGAGGTGACTGCAAATCTGTATCACTCACTGATTAGTCACTAGAGGGAACTGCACATCTTTACTGCTCACTGATTGGTTGCTATAGGTTACTGTGTATCATTATCACTTATTGGTTTCTAAAGGCTACTGCACTTCATTACCAGTCCCTGATTGGTTGCTTTAGGTTGCTTTGCATCATTATGGATCACTGATTGATAACCTCTGCACCCCAAACCTCTCCCAACCTCTCAACTCCAACCCCTCCACCTTAACTCTACATGCCTGCTCTGCTCATCTATACATCCACCTTCCTTACCTCTGTACATCCCCTCCTTGCTCAGCTGTGCACCCCAAACTGTAAATTCTTCTCTGCCTACCTCTGCAGACTCCACTACTTTGCTTACCTGAACAGGCTGATAGTAGGCTCACTGACCACAGTTGCAAGGAGGACTTTCAAGCATGCCTCTGTTTTTTCTTCCTGGTGAGCAGCATTCAGCAGAGGTTATGATGGATAGAACCTCAGGGGGGCATGATACACATATTAATGCCATCACTATTTACATGTAAATGCTGCTGCTGTTTACAAATCAATGCTGGTTATTTACATGTGAATGTTGACATGATGTCATGGACCATCTGTACACTGCAGCAGGGCAGAGCTGGGCAGTATAAGTGACAGCACTTCACACGGAGAGATCGAAGCACAGTGCAGGAGGAATACTTCAAGGAACAAGGGTATGTAAACCGAGACAATTGGCAAATATGGCCAACTGCTTTGGGCCACCCAAAAATGATTGGGCCCAGGACAGCTACCCTTTTTTGCCCTGCCTTAAACATGGCCCTGATGGGGTGTACAATCTCATGCACCCTGGGTGAGTTCGAGGACATGCACCAGCTCCCACATGGACATCATATTGGAACACAGCTGCTGTGTCCATGCAGTCACTGTGACCCAATAGACATGAAAGGGACTACCCACACAGGGATACACAAAACATCTGTACAGGGGCATCCCTAGGGTTGGTGTCACCCGGCGTGATAACACTTGGTGACACCCCCTCCGACGATCCCCGCAGAATAGATCGGTTCTGCGGTTTGAGCATAATGGATCGGACTCTGATCCATTATGCTCCCCAATCCGCAGATCTGATCCATCCTGCGGGGATCGTCGGCTTGCTTTACAACTTACCTTTTCGTGGACCGGATCCGGTGTCACCCGGTGCGGCGCCCACCCCCTGCATCTGCTTCGGGACACCACTGCACCTGTAAAGCCTTGAGGCCGAGCGGCCGCACATTTGCGTGCAATTAAGAAAAACATATGTGCTGACAGCGCGCACCCTTCATGCTCCCAGCACACATGTCCAGTACTCATGGAAAGGCCCCAATCTCCTCTTTCGATCAGGACCTTTCCCAATCATGTAACCGCCATGACACGAATCTCGGTGGTCACATGACCCTAAAACCCCGCCCACCTCCCGACTTCTGAAACCCTTAAAGGGCCAGGAGGCGCCGGCACCAAGGGGTTAAATTAGAGAGACCCAAACTCATTGGAGTCTATGGGGGAGAAGTTGGAAAATTCTGGAAACTTATAACAACGCACTGTGAAAAATAGCCAGTGACAGCACAAGTTTAATAAGTAAGATTAAGCTGACAAATGGCTCATTCACGTCCTAGCTCCAACCTCTCTGCCTGGTGGGACTGCTCTGCATAGAGATTCCATCACACAAAGTCTAAAAGCAAACAGCTTTTGCTGAGCTTTGTCAAATGCATGGGCACTTGTGTATTAAAGTACATAGTTTTCACCAGAAACAAGAGGTGAGGAAAATCTTCCAAATGGGGTATTCAATTTGGTGATAGCTCTCTTGGAGGGGAAATACTCTCATATTGCAGAGATTTTTCTTTCACTTACTGTTGTTGCATCTTGGATAGGAAGTAAAGGAAAGTCTCTCAAATGGGACACACGCAGCAGAAAATAAACTGACACGGGTTTTAACACCTCAGTATTTTATGCAAAACTAAATAAAGATATTTTTGGCAATAGATATACTTCAAACCGGGGCAGACTGCCCATTTGGAAACTGCCCGAGGGCCCGGGGTCAGTAGGGGGCCCCATGAGATGCCCCTGGCACCTTTTTCATAGGGTTTTTTTGAGTTTGGGCAAGGACACAGGGGCCCCATGATCCCCTTTTGCCCGGGGGCCCATGAGTTGTCAGTCCGCCCCTGCTTCAAACCTTTATTTATTCTCGGTTCACGCATATGCAATTTCTAATGCATTTCAGATCACATTGAATCGCATGACAGGTCAAATAACAGTTTTATATGTTTGCTATGAAAAGGGCCTTGTGCAATTTTAAGTGCAGTGTGGGTGCAATTTCCAGCCTGATATACTTTAACAATTTGCATCAGAATCGCACCTGCACCGTGAACAAAATTGCACCGCATCCGTCTATCAAAATCGTACTACATCCACATTATATATATGGGAATCCATGCTGAGTATCGGTTTGTAAAACAAATCTTTATTATAGAGAAGAAAGGATGTTAAAATTTAGTCAGCTTTAACAGTTTTAGACTTCATTGACACAGGTGCATAGTCCTGTACCTCTATGCAGAGGTTTGTGTGTAGGCTCCCAGGAAATGACAGGTGTTCTGCTTAGATGCCTGCAGCCAGCCAGTCAAAATAATTACACACTGAGAGACGCATTGGCTGTTGGGATCTCAATGTACATGCCAGGTTATCTGCACCCAGAGTTGTGTGTTTATACTTGTATGGATGTCAGCACTGGCATGTGTTAAGATAGATATAGCCACTGCATTTCTCAGTGTGCCATTAACTGGTTGGATGCACACAGCAACAGGGAACACTTGTAATTTCCAAGACACATAAACACACACCTCCGTGCAGAGGTATAGGACTATGTGCCCATGTTAATTCATCTTTGAACTTAAAATTGTTGGTTATGTGTTAGAGAAGACACTGGTAGCTTGTGATGAGGCAGATTTCTGTTTTACTTGTGTGACTTAAGTTGCAAACATACAGAACACATTTCAGCAGACAGTGATAGCAGACATCTTGCTTTGAGAGAGAGGAAGAGAGAGAACCAACAAGTTTTACACATACGCACAACTGGTAACCTTAGTGTACAGTGCCATCTACTGGTCAAGTGATATTAACATACAATACTATATATAGTACATTATAGTACATGCTGTTGCATTCCCAACAAAAATATGAAATAAAACCAGAAACCATTAGGCCAACTTTTTTCTTTTTTAATCACAATGCACTAGAATATACAGTTGATTCACATACGCAGGTTGGGTTGGTGTGCCATTCAAAATGTTGTCAGCTGCCAGTGGCAATCA